CGCTTTTGGGATTGACGAGTATGTTTTATCCATTTGATATGATCATTTTTTTCCCTATGTATTTTAAAATTGTAGAGCTATTGGTTATTTACCGCTTCCAAAAGTTTCCGGAAAATGCGCTTGGAAAGTAAAAGGAACACGAATTTTTGGGTCTTTCCAGTGGGAAATTTCCGGGAGCAACGGATTGGAACATGTAAATGAAGGTAGTCCTGTTTTCCGGACAGATTGTTCCAAACAGAAATTCAAGGTCTATTTCTTCAAAACCATCTTTGATAACAGTTTCAGGCCTTCGCGCGGCCGCTTTTCTGTAAGTGCAACTGATTTGTACTAATAGAAAACGCAGTTCCCGGGGAGACATTTACTAGTCCTGAATTTTGCTTACTTTGTGCCCAAACCGTGAATCAACCAGTTTGCCGATTAAGTGCGCTAGATAAACAACCATTTTGCAGATATGCTTCAATAAATGTATTTCTTTAAAACCTATTTCTGTTTAGTTTGCTTTATCTCTTCTGTTGTAGTTGCTAAACTTTATCGCTTTTGTGTTAAGTCTAGTTGTGTTAATTTCGATCATTGTCGGATACAGCTACTACTGATAAGATACACTGTAATCCATTCTTTGTCCTGCGTTAGGATGTGTCAGAGACTATATAAGCAAGATAAGTCATTCTCTTTTGGTGGTAATAATATCAGGGTCACCCAACGAGAATATAGTTGAAAACCACTTAAACATAGCATTGTTAAACGTATTTTAGTATTTAAACGTTAGATATAGGCATATTTTTATCTCCTAGAAATTTGTCATCTGTTCGGATTTCCTAGCTGAAAGTCTAGTGATCCGAAAATTATAGGGATCAAACCTTACCTTTTCGAAAATTTCAGCCAGAAAAAAGGCTCCCGAAAATTCTAGGTGACCTTTTAAGGGTAAAAATCTGTTAAGAATAGACAATTACAGTAGTTTTTAGATGTTCGAAAATCCTAGTAGAGGCAGGCAAGCAAGAAATTTTACAACAAATGTTCCGAAAATTCTAGATCTCAAATCGTCTTCCGAACAGATATTTTCTCAAATTGTCGTTGGGTGCCCCTGTAATATTGAGGTGCAAAAGGGTAAAACGACCGAGTATTTAAGGCAGGAGCGTAGCGTTCATATAGTACGCACGTACGCCCGTGCGTACATGTAGAACTGAAATATTATGGAAAAATTATATACCTGTTATCTCCTGAAAAAGCCTTTTTTCATCATTAAATCTGAATGACTGATACATTTTTCGCACTATATTGGTGTTGTTGTGTTAATATTTCTTTTACCTTTCATAATTCCATAATTCTGATGGCGTCACTGGCCTCTCTTTTCCGTAAACATTTTACCCTGTACAAGTGTCCTGCAGGAAACGCTGGAAATGGCATTTCCTAGACCCTCAATTCAAAGATTTTCTGGGGAAGCTTGCTCCCAGTCCTTCCTACGGTTAGGCCGCTGTCACAGCGTTTTGGGCATCCCCGCGTTTTGGGCATCCCCATTCCCAAATCCCTAGCGTTTTGGGCATCCCCGGTGGGGGATGCCAAAAACGCTGATCGCTTCGACTTTGCCTAAATTATTTCAGACTGGGGAAAAGTTGGGATTGTCAATCACGAATTTACGGCTGAATAGTGTAGATGCATGTTAGAATTATATCGTCTGACACTTTTCGCCGGGTTTATTGTGCAGAAAAAAAAACCCATAGGCAGTAAACGTTGGCTTAATTAAAACGGGACGAAACTGAAATTTACAACCGCATAACATCCCTTCGCTGTACAACGCTTCATTGTTTGCAACGCTTCAATTTTCTCTAATAGAACTGTTTACCAGCGAGAAATGCCGCAATCGCCGGCAGCTGCGATCGTCTATTTCCAAACAGCCAAAAACAAGAATACTAAACGAAACAATCAAAAGATAAACATGAATACAACTGCGTTTTGCGGTATTGAATTCATAGTATGCATGACATTTGAGGCCTGTACAACTTAACCCCGCAGCGCTACTTGACACACAAAAGGCTGTCACACAATTTCTACAGAAGCCTCTTGCACCTACGGGACAGAAGAAATCTGTTGCCGTTTTGAGATGTAGTAGGGGCTTCTATTAAATCAATTCCGACCGAGTACCACACCTTGGGAACAACCTTCACAGGGTGCAAAGGTATTATCGCGGCCGGCGTGTCCAGAAAAAGGAGCAGAGTAGCACTCTTCGAAGACCCTCGCTTTCTCTTCCTCGGTGAGCAATTCGTCGAAGCGCTGTGCCATCCTTCTCCGTGGCCACCTAGAACAAAGACTCTAATTTTGAGTCATACTCGAACTTTTTGGCAAATTTCGCTTAGTCGTTTTTTTGCTTTGTAAAGCCTTCCGGATAAGCCTTCTTTTCAAGATACTGGAAAAGATCTCTATATTTAGTGGAAGCCATCTCTAAAACGTTTTCGATTTTCCCGCGAAATCCAGCATTTTTTTGGAGGGGATGACCAAAACACTAGTGATTCCCGGGAGGGTACCGGGGGATGCCCAAAACGCTACAGTAATATGAGAAGGGGATGCCCAAAACGCTAGGGATTTGGGAATGGGGATGCCCAAAACGCGGGGATGCCCAAAACGCTGTAACACCGCCTTCGACGCTTCAACTTTTTTCCCCGCGTGCGTACACTTTCAAAATCTCACGCTACGCCCCTGAAAAAGGCCTCAAGTTACCAGTGTGGACAAATAGTTAACTTGACTCTTGTACGGTTCATAGACAATCGCCCTTCTCTTCCTCGACAGGAATTTGTGTGAGCGAGCGGAGAGTCGGGCTACCAAAAAATGAAATGAAGTTGTACAAAAATCCATGACTATTAGGTCCAAGAACTTGTGTAGAGTGTTTTCACTCACGTGGCCAGCATCTATGCATATTTATTGGAACAAAAGAAATCGTTTGCGTAGGAAAAGATTTCAACTCCAACGGGATTGGTTTGGGACACCAACATGGCCGCCGTTTCATTTTTTTAGGATACCAATATGGCCGCCGTGACGTCATGTGAAAACACGCTATTGTCTCAGTAAATTAAAATCAACTGGCAAGTTTTCTAAAAAATTGCATTTGTTTGTAAAATGTATGACATATAGCGCTTAGCGCCTAATTTCTAATTAGTCTAAAGAAATTTGCATATGTAACCTTCACGTATGGTTATACCTTTTAAACTGTAGCTATTTAGTACAGTGCCCAAAACCCCTTGCAGACGTATCCGGGTATTTTTGAAAACGAAGATGTTTTGCTCCGTTTTGGCCTTCCCTCTACATGTAAACAGTTTTTTCGGCCGCCAAAAACGCAGGTTTTCGAAAACAGTCCTCAGAGTGGAGTTTTTTTAACAGCCGGCTTATCGTTTTCGTATGAAACGGAGGTTTTTTAATAATTTTCATGATACAGCGCACGCCCTGTAGGGAATGCTATCGTTGCTATTCCATTGTTTTAGCGTTTTGATGTGGACCGGCGAAACGATTCGAATGCGCCACGTGCTGACGCGTATCTTTTTAGAAAACGGAGAGAAAAAATCAGTTCTCCGTTTTCAAAAATATCCGGAAACTTATGGACGGGGCCGGCCGCCTAAAGCCTTGCGAAGCTTTTTTTTTTTTACCCGCTGCCTAAAATAAACGATGTTCAAAATATAAAATGTGATCTACTATGTAATTTAAAAGGTAAGAAAAGAGGTCGATTAAAGAGGATGTTGCTTTGAATTTTTCCTGCATTCGTAGCTTTATCCTTTTGTAAAATTGGAAAACATTTATTATAGCGTTTCCAACGACGATATCTCAAATAGTGACACCGTACACGCATATGATTTGATAATTCTTATTTACATTTTTTTCTCTTATTATATTGTATTATAAAAATAATTTCATATTCCGCCATTGCAGCCGCCCTTGAAATTCAACAAGTGCGTTTGAGAAACTTTACTAATGAACATGGAGGAGCATATGGAAGTAATTTACGCTAAGTTGTACTTTGTCTATGCTTTTTCAAAACCAGCATTCATAATTGAAAAATCAGTGTAAGAAGTTGTATAAGTCATTTTCAGTGGCGAATCCAGACCTTCCCAAAAAGGGGGGGGGGGGGGGGGGGGGGGGGGGGGCCCCCCCGCCCCGGGGAGAGGGGGGGGGGGGGGAAGTATTTTTTTTTTGGGGGGTGTAAAAGTAGGGGGGGGGGGGGCGCGCCCGCCCCGCCCCCCCCTGTGCACGCCCGCTCTGTATGCGCGT